GCCCATGCACTGAAATAAGCCTTCCCCCCAAAATAAGTCCTCCCCGAAAATACTGTAACACAGCAGCAGCCATGAGGTGACCACACTCGCTGTCTCCTGTACCTCAAAAATAGTAAGTACTCCCCGAAAATACTGTAACACAGCAGCAGCCATGCGGTGACCACACTCGCTGTCTCCTGTACCTCAAAAATAGTAAGACCTCCCCGAAAATAAGGCCAAGTTTTGGGGGGGGGTCAAAAGAAAATAAGACCCTGCCTTATTTTCAGGGAAACACAGTATTTGGATCTCAATGTTACAATTATTATGTTGGCTAGGCTTTATTAGCTACCCAAAACAGGTAACATATTTGAAAATAGCTTAAAGGTCATTTTTTCTGTCAATGTACAACACTCCTAATTTATTTAACTTACTTCAACTGAATGTTATCGATTTAGTTCACAGTTAGCATTTCTCAAGATTTAAAACAACATTTGTTATGTTTTTCTATCCATTTTAGTTTACATGCATTAAAACATTTGGAATCTACTCATTCTTTGAAAGAAGATTCCTGGCATTCTTTTACTGCTTTCTTATAGCTTTGTTTGATAGTGATTTTAAACAGACATTTTTACTCTATGCACAAGTTGCAACTGAAGAAAGATAAATTTATTCCAAACTTCAGCTGATAATAAAAACTATGGCAAATTCTCTTCTGGAAAACAATTTTTTTCTTTTATAAACCTACTTTTTAAAAAAAAAACTCAGAAGCTTTCTAGAAAGATAACAAAACCCAAAAGTCTTACAACGTTATAGAAAACAATTACATGATACTAACACTCATGATTTTGGAGTTAAAGGTGAAAAATTCTATATGCTAATACAAATCATTAATAGTTTTTTCTTATGAACTATAACTGTGAGTGACATTAACAACTTACCTAACAAACGGAAGGGCTTTAGATGAAGAATCTATTTTTTCTGGATCATGTAGGAAACGCTGACTTTGACCAAAATCCAAACTCCGGTGTGCCAATATGGGATGACTATCTAATTCCAGAGGATGATTCAATCTGCCAGCTTGTGGAGAAAGCTGAGCTTCTCCAGATTCATTTTCTTCCTGCCAAGATTTAAAAGCAGGAAATGGCTCTAGAAGGAAATAAAAAACAAATGGCGCTGGGATATTAGAAGACTGCAAAAAATGGAAATTCACAATGTGACTAAAATAAATAATGAAATGCACTGGAAAGCTACATGTCAAAGCAAAAAAGAAAAAGAAAATAGGCCCAATACACTTAAGACATATACAACAATCTTCCCATAGGTGTATGCCACTTAACATATTTTATTACATAATCATCATGCATTAATATATAAAACTATACCATGTTATACACTAAATATGTACCATGTGTATTTTGATTATGTGCTTTAAACCTTATGAACAGGTAATTTTTGCCCAACAGTGTGCATTAATATATTTACATAAAGATTTTAGATAATGATGTGCAAATCCTATGTTTCATTGTAATACAAAAGACTTGACTCCTCCATATATTGATATTGAAGAATAATTCTATTGAAGGAGCATTAATTGTAAAGAAAGTAAATAAATAATATTTAATAGTGTACATTACAGTTATAATGTGTGTATTTGTGAAATAATTTGTGGCTTTCTAGGGAATCTGAAATCTTAGAATAATCCAAGAAAGGAAAACCTTGTTATTATCCCTCAAAAATAACATATATGTGTATATGTGTGTCTACTAATATTAATACACACACAGAGACAGTTCCTCACTTTATCTCTTTATTTGCAAACACAGAAATAGAATGACATAAATACTGTATTTGGCTTTTCCAGTGCAAATCTTATACTTGAAAGATAGTTTTGAACAATACAGTGACAACACAATAAGATGTTGATTAACCCACTTATACCTGCTTCCCACCAAACACCAAAATATATTTTAAAGAATTCCTTGTTTAAAATAAAAGTTATTGGATTACAAAAAGGCAAACCAGACATGATGTCATGGTGTGAACTTATAAAACTGCTTTATATGGACACTCTTCACTTGTCCAACTAGCAGAGCACATTCTTCTCTAGCTGGCAGAGGCGTTCCCAGGTTGTGAGGCAGTATTTCCTACTTCTGCTGGCAAAAATCATTTAACTGAACATACCAGCATGTCAAACTTTAATACGCATATCAATGCACAACATTAATATGCATATCACTGCATCAATCATAAGCCATGACTCTCCAGAAGGCAGCAGGTAAAAGGGGTAATTTGAAAGCAACCATAAACCATGAAAGAGGCAGTAACTGAATGTATGGCGAACCATACTTACCCTCCCCTTCTCTCTGTAGATGCATTGTTTTGAAATCAATGAGGGGAAAAGTGATAGGACATGGCGCTAATAAATGAAAAAAAAATGGCAAAAAATACTGAAGTGAACACATCGCACAGTTAGAACAAACTATAAATAATACGTAGGAGTATAGCACCACATAGAAAGTCTTCCAATTGATTCTGGGCCAGGTCAAAGCACTCTTCTCAACTGAATGGATCAGTTAAAAGGTGCCTAACACCATTCAAAATTATGCCCTTTATTAATTAAAAGTCTTTCCAGAAGTGTTCCAGAGGTGACAAACAAAAAGCCACATGCTTTTCCATGTTTAACAAAACACATTTCAAAGAAAAAAAAAATTACACACAGGACAGATTTTTCTCACATATGTTTAAAGATAACACCCAAAATGCAGAGAAAATTCATATGCCAATTATTTATGTGTCCAACATATACATTTGACTGAATTAGCAAGATATGAATTTTTTAAAAGGAAGCAAATTTATAATAGCACAATAGGTCTAGAAATCACTAAACTATATATCAAAATAGACAGTAACAATAAGATTAATATAAAAGAATTCAGTCTGATTTGAAAAAGAGAACAGAGAATCAACAAAACTAGTTCAGGATCCAAATAAGTTTGCAGAGTACAAAGGAACTTTCAGCTTCGCCCAACAGTAGTCCCTAATCCTCCCATTGAAGAAATCCCTACCATCTGAGAATATTCTTGAGCTGCATTCAATTTTATCACCAGAAGGAAACAGTTCCATTAACTCTGGAACTGTTAATGCATTGCATTTCTTTGGATCCTGTTTCCAGAGTATATCAGCAAATAAAACAAGAAGCTATGCTTAAACAAAGAGCCATTTTAAGTCGTTATCTGG